AATTATGTGTGATGTAATAAATTACTATTAATTTTGTAACTTAAGCTAAATTTTTTATGAATTACATGACCAAATCGGCTGAATGTTTGACGAAAGATCTAATGCTGAAATAATGCTAAATTATGTGTGATGTAACAAATTACTATCGATTTTTGTAACTTAAGCCAAATTTTGCCAAATCATATGACCAAATTGGCTGAATGTTAACTGAATGGTATTAGTGACAAATGAAATGATTTTGACTAGTAATTTACCACCAATTTTAACTAACGTAATATTCCAACTATAAGGCTCTTTCTAAAAAGATGAAAGGCACAGTACACCTAGACATATCTTTTACTCTCGTCATTAAAAATCTGTTTAACATTAATACCACTTAACTACCAACCCTATCTCACAAAAATAATAATAACAATATCTCTCAAAATAAACTACCTCCACAATTATCAAAGAAATAAAACCTCTAATCTGGTTTTTAGTCAGATGATATTCCACCAAATATGAATAAAGAAATTCTTTTTGATAATACTATCTATTCTATTCCAAATGACACTTTATACAAAGGGATAAAAGAAAGTAGCTCTATGCATGCTAATAATAATAAGGATTTTAAAGCATTTATCAAATCCTAATTTAACAATCTTAAATAAAATATGAACATTCTGATGAGCATATTAGTCTTCACCATTAAAAGGGTAGAATCTATTGAGAAATCACTCAATATTAAAGTCATTACTTTTGTCGAAGCTGACTCACAAATCTTAATGCTAGTAAAATAGAGATAAGATTGAACCTACTATTAACTCAATAGCATCAACTATAATTAAACAACAGAAAACCATAGAAGGCTTAAGAAATATCAATGCAATGCATCAAAATCGTCTTAAATCCTTCACTTTGACTGTCAATACTATACATAAAGTCGAAATAAATCATTTTGGATATCTGAAATAGTCAAAATGGTCAAAATGATTTCAACCATTGGAGACTAAAATTGCGAAATAGTCGAAATGACATCATATCACATGATTTTTTATATTTAAAAAAACAAAAATCAAAAGATGAACGATCTTGGTCAAAATCGCTCCAATTCGTATGAAACAACTACCATTCGATTCTTTGAAACTAGGAAGATCCAATGAGCTAACATTCATTGATTTTGATTATCCAATACCAAAATACTCGCAATTGTACAGCTGAAATTATAAATCAATAAATTCTACTTTAAATAAAGGAGTCTAGATTTTGAAAAACGATCGCAAATATCTCAAGATGCGATGATCCAAAATCAATTTTCTATATTTGTACCCTTTTTTGGATTTTCATGTTTTAATTAACTGATTATGAATTTTATAATTAATAAATGCATTACTACGTCTTTAAAAAAAATAAAAAAAAAGATGATCCAAAATCAATGAATGTTAGCTCATTGGATTCGTCTAGTCATGAGGAATCAAATAGTAGTTATTTTATACAAATCAGAGCAATAGTGATCAAGATTGTACATCTTTTGTTTATTTTTGTTTTTCTATATATAAAAATCATGTGATATAACGTAATTTCGATCATTTCGATTTTTCATTTTGACTTTGACCTCCAAAGTCGAAACATTTTGACTTTTTGGATTTTCATTTTGACTTCATGTATAATCAATACTCTTGTTCAATCATATGCAGCCTTTCAAAATATTCTTTTAAAAAATAACTTGCTCCCTTAAGAATGGGCCTATAACATCTTTTCACTTAATGTAATATTCAATACTGATATTGAAATTTATATCAAAGATTTTTTACAATACTAAATATTAAATGAAAACTATACCTACTGATAATAATGTACAAGATGCATTAAATATTAATACAAATTGCTCACATTTTAGTCCTTTCTTTTGCCTCTCATAATGTTCGTAATTTTACTAATACTACCAAATAACACACATTTATTGAACACTATCTCTTATTAAATATAGATACCATTGATCTACAAGAAACTAATTTTTTTCAACAATATATTTAACCCTTCAACATAGAGCATACATCTATATTTTGTGGATTTTTTTTAGCTTTGATCAAACACCAAATAAAACAGGTTTTGGAGTAGACATCTTATTACGTCTGTAACTAGCCAATCATATCTTTTATCATGGACAATTATTAAACAGAGTTATTTATTTTAACCTTCAATTTATCAACAAATAAAAATTACGCTTCATTAACTATTATTTGCTTTCATCTGACATTTTAAAAAGAAAGAAGATAAAAAAAATTAATTACAATTATCAATAATGCGTTCTCTAATGACTTTCACATAATTTTAACAGGTGACTTCAATGCTGATATAGATAGAATTAAGAATCTAAAATGTGCCAAAGAATTTTTTACTGTACTTCAAAATTTTTATTTATTTGACGTATGCATCTTAAAACATAATAACAATTGTGCTAAGTATCCAACCTTTAAATCAACAATATCAGCTTCTTGTATCGACTTTGTTTGAATCTCTTCAGAACTTGTATATAATTTCAATACTTGTAACATTGTACTAGTGATGCAACAAATCTCTGACCACTTAATTGTGGTTTGTTCAGTAGATAACTATCTAGAGACTAATAATAATAAACGTAATATACCAAAAAACTATATACAATTATAATAGAATAAATAAGAAGCTTTAGACTGAATACAAAAATAAGATGAATGCCTTCACCAATATTTGTTAACTATGTCTCTTAAAGTTCAATATGAAGCTTAATCAAATAAAACTTAATTTTTACTGAGACTTGCTTCAAGCCTGTATTATCAAAGCAGCTAACAACTTTATTTCGTTTCATAAGTCAACTGGATAGCATAAGCTAAAGAAACCCTTTTGTTGTCTTTACTTTATAAAAATTTTAGATTTTTATATAAGTTCATTAAAAAAATCAAGACTACGTTGTTACGTCCGATTTGTAACTCAAATAAAATTCATAAAAATTAATAATGCTAAGACTAAACTCAGAGAATCACAACAAAGATTCGTAGTAAACGTCAAAGATTATTCTCAATTAAACACGAATAACTTCTGAATATTTCAGAGATTACGTTTCAGTGACTACACCTTAAGTCAATACAACAAATCAATACAATACCACGCAAAATTATTAACAATAATATTATATACACAGGTTAAAAAGGTTGCGAAGGATAAGTTTTAACTTGGTTAATTATACTCTTTATTAATAATATAATAAATTGTAAGTTCTCTACATCGTAAGGTGTCGAGACTTAATAAAAATACAGTGATATTTATACATATTTGATAATTATAAAATGAACTAAACTAAATAAATCTATGAAAAATAAATGACATTGTCAAGGAAATAAAGTTGACAAAATTGATCAGCAAAGATTATCATATCAATAAAGTTGCCTATTATACTGGAAATAAAATTGACATCTAGATCTACAATGTTTCACATTGATTATCTCAGAACATAAAATTGATATCAGGATCGATGAGATGATAAATAAGGACATTTAATTGACATTGGATTTGTAATCAGATTTTTGCCAAAATTTTACACTGTTACAACGTGATGATCAAATAAACTACTGAGTGATTGGCTAACACTTCACACTAAATTTTATGAACATACCAACGATTTTGAATATAATCAAATATTGCTGTCTCCATCATTACTAACTGTGTTTCTTCAATCTCTATTACCAAGTACTAAACTAATACTTAATTGTCTTCTAGTTATAACCAAACTCTATGAGTATGAATTTAAACTTAAATTAATATAGCAAGTGATTGAGAATAGATTGGATAATTATGCTGTATTTCTATCTCATATAATCGATTCAATTCTTAATCATTCAAGAAAAACAATAGTGTTAGACAGATGTCATGATCATTTATCTGAATCATGTGATTTCTGACAGATAAAGTACTTGTTAAAAATAAGGTTAATCAACATTTCTAATTAGCAACTAGTATCTCATATGAAAATATGCATATTTCAGATGAGTGAAGTTTCTTTTATAAACTACTGTACAATATCAATGGATCTATATACGATAGCCTCATAACGTTATTCACAGTTGAAGAATGTTATGAAATTCTTACTACTTTGCCTAATAGTAAAGCTTCTGGTCTATTCAAAGTTTCAAATGAAATGCTTAAACACCTAGGTTCTCACACAAATAAATTGCTTTGGTACATGATTCGTCATTGTTTGACTGAGTTCATACTTTCACATCATTAGAACATCGCATTTATCTACCCTATACCGAAACTTAAACTATAGGAATACAATTGAATAAGCTTAAACTGTTAATCATTAAGTTAATAAAAATTATTTGCTAGCAAGGAGTTTAATTACGTCTAAATTATGGAAGTAATGAACATAAATAATTAAATTGAAGGGTCAGGTCACCTTTATTAATATAGATTTAAAGAAGAATGGATTGTTTAACGAGCAAAAATAAGTTTTAGAGATAATATTGATTTTATTAGAGATTGTAGCAAAATTAAAATTAAACAATTGTTCTATACTAAAAAATTAAAAAATTCATACCGTTTTTGCCAATTTTTGATTTTCAAAACTGGTATTGAAATCATTTTTTACTGTAGCACCCGACTCGTTTTAAAAAAATCTATTTTTGACGATTCGATTTTGATTTTTGATACGATTGTAAATCCTTAGCCGGTTAATATCTGTTTGTTTAGTCAAAGAACGAATTATATATTTGGCCTAATTTTTTTTTTTCCTAAATATTAATTCTGGGCAAAATCTTGTTATATGCGTAAAGATTTACTATTTTTAATGTAAATGTGAAAATGTCATTGATAAATGACTTTCTTATTTTAGCAAAATAATTGTCATTCATGAATGACATTTCTCGATTTGGCGATTTCAAGTAAGTTGAATGACTTTCTTATTTTTGCGGATGAAACTTTATTTAATCGCAAATTATTTTTTTTTCACAAAAATCCTTAAAAATTTATAACAATTTACCATGAACATAATAAATTCACTAGGAACAACAGATCTTATAAGTATAATTGTATCGATTATCCTTGTATACATCGCAAGATTTTATTACAAGTATTTTACACGACCAAATCCTTTGCCGGGACCAGTTCCATTACCTATAGTTGGAAATTTTTTATCGATTTTTTATTATGGCAAAGGTGATGTAGCACTATGGTTAAAGTTACTACAGGAAAAACATGGGGATATTTATGAAATATATCTTGGAAGTTTAAGAAGAATTGTATTCGCTCGAGCTGATTATGTTGAAAAATTAATGTCGCCGTTCACAAAAACCAATTACGTATTGAGATTTGAACATATGCCAGTATTTGATGAGTTAAAAGTTTCAGGAAAAGGAATTGTATTTAACGCAGACATTCCTACTTGGAGAATAAATCGACAATTATTTTCACAAGCTGTTCTTACTCCAAGTTTCTCAAAAGAGGCCTTACATCGCAATCCAATAATCTTCAATGAACTAAATGAATATTGGAAAGAAATTGGACAAAATGTATCAATCGACTTTTCGAAATGGATTCGTAAATTCACCACGGAATCTATCTTTCAATTAGTTGTTGGATTAAAGGTTAGCTCAATGGCAAAATATTTTAATGATAGTGTAGAATTATCAAAGAGAAAGTTTATTGAGTCAAATCCTATAGATAAAAATATTATAAATTTTGATCAAATCATTGATGCTCGTATAAAATCTACACCATTTATTTTAAACGTTCCAGCTTTTTTAAGACATACAATTTTTAAAAAAAGGAACGATGAAATTCATGAAAATAGAAATGAGACCCGAAAAATTATTATGAAGATTATTGATCATCGTCGAAAAGAAATTGAAGATCACAAGGAATTAGGAAGTGACATGTTGACATTATTAATCACAGCAAATACTGAACAGATTGATGAACAACATTCTAAACCTTTAACCAATGATCAAATTTTTCAAATATTAATTGAGGCTATTATTGGAGGAATCGAATCAACCGCCAATTTATTATGTTTTATCGTATATCATATAGCTCATTACCCTAATATATTGGCTCGTATGCGAGAAGAACTTGATACCATTTTTGGTTCTGAAAATAATCATCAAATTACTATGGAAGATCTTTCAAAAATGCATTATACAGATTCTATAATCAAAGAATGCGCTCGTCTTATTAATCCCTCAAAATTAACTTAACGTAACTCTTCCTTACCGGATACTATGATCGGTCGTGAATGGCCTGTGAATACTGCATACTTTGCATATATTGAGGGAATTCATCATAATCCAATTCATTGGAAAGATCCTCTTAAATTTAATCCTGATCGATTTATGGAATCAGAACCACAAAAGAACACATTTTTGATGTTTGGAGGTGGAGTGCGGATTTGTCCAGGAAGAAAGTTAGCACTTGTAACAATGAAATGTATAGTCTCTTTTATTTATAGAAATATGGATATTTCGTTAGTAGATATGGATGCCCCTTTGAAGTTAACTAATGATTTTGTAAATGCTTGCACCGAATTAAATATTAGAGTTAAACAAAGAGCGGCGCATTCTAAAGTTTAAATCTTTCAAATTTGAATTTGTTGCACGTCATGTGAACCATGAATTTGAAGTTTTATAGATAGTTTTAGGTTTTTCTTTTATTTATTTTTTTAAAAAAAAAATCAAATTATTTATGTAAATTATCATTATTAATAAAAAAATTTTTTTCTTCAAATTTACTTGATCCGGCCGAAATTATTGTTTTAATCGAAATGACTTAATATTTCAAAACTTGACTACTTGCTAATAGCATTAAATGTGAAGGATTATTTAAATTTTAGAGTTTAAGTGTAGTGTTCATGAAAAATAAAACCGGTTTTTTATTTTTTATTATTAGGCTGCACTTTGCAAAACAAAAAAGTTTCATGTCGTATAAACATTGGCAGGTCTTCTTATTGGCGTTTTATGATAATTGATGTCGATCATGTGATGGCAGCTTTACATTATAAAACTTTTAATTTATAAATAAGCTATTTACAAGATAAACTTTGAAATCACAAGTTTTTTCAAGAAATCACAGAAAATCACAAAAAAACAAATAGGAATCACAGTTGAGTTTCCATAGTAAAAGTTGATTTTTGACTCATGAAAAATAACAATAAAAGTGAAGATTTGAGGTGGAGCGTATTATATTTGTATTATGATGGGTTTTCTTTAAAAAAAAATATCTTGAGTTATTATCTACTGTACTGTTACAAGAATAATGAAATGTTTTCAAAAGTGGAGATGTGTTATAAACCCATTGTTATTTTTAATGGATCTACTATAAGGTAAAAATTTTTAATATATTAATTATGATATATTATGTTGCATGTTTATTGTATTTATTAAAACATAAATTTTTTTTTAAATTTTAAGTGAAATAATAAAAGAGCATTCTGATCACTATTTGGATGAGATTGTTAGAGAAATGATTAGGAGGATTAACAAAGACCATGTTCCTAAAAATAAAATAAAAATCAAAATTATAATTAAATTATTATTAAATGTTGCGTGAACTATCGTTACGCGAATATCATCACGAACGTTACGCGAGCATCATCACGAAGTGTTACGCGAATGAAATCTTACAATTGATGCAGCCCAAGTATTTATTTGTTTGATAAATAGTTTCCCATTTTTGCTACTCTGTTTTTACCCTCTCTCAATTACTAATTTAAATGATATTTCCATGTTTTTATCTTCAGATTCTTCATTTTCAGAATTATCCACTTCATCTTCAATATTCAATTCTATATTATCTTCTATTTAAATACCCAAAATTTTATCTTAATCTTCACTTCATTATTCATCAGATTTTTCTCAAATTCTACTTTATTAATTTTTTTTACTTCATCTACTTCATCATCATCAATACCATCATCAATGTGATTTTAGTAAAAAATAATAGTTACAAAAAAAGAAAAAGCTACTCCAGAGTGTATGATTTAAATATAAAACACAAGTTTTATAATGAGCTATAACTATCTGATTTAAGTAAAGATAATTTATTCATGTTGAATGGAATTTCTTTAAAATTTAAATATAGTTTATGTTCAACATGTCATAAGGTGACGAAAAGGTTAAAAAATAAAGACCATTCCAGAAAATCTATCAAAAACTTACAAATCTAATACCAAATCAAATCAAGCATCAAGGTTAACTAGATCTAATTCTTTAGCTAAAAATTCTAGAGAAATAAATAATGATGATGACAATGATGTTAATGCAAATGAAAGTGTTTAAAAGATAATATTCCATTAAAATTCAAACATATTTGACACAAAAAAAAAGAGTGCCAATTTATTACATTCTTGAGTAGAGTACTTTTTTCTTTGGCATTATTACAAGTATAATGAACGCGATACAAAAATTCTCAATTAGATCTTAATTGTATTACAAGATCTCGTGATTTTGTGTTTTTTTGTTTTTGTCGATCATCACGCATAATAGCCAATTCAATAATTCATTAGAAATGTGTGGCATAACCTATTTTTGTGATCAATTATTTCACTTCCTCAATTGGGACTTCGTAATATCTGCAAATAAAAAAAAAAGGTAAAGATGATTTCCCTCCTACCAACACCCCTTAATCAGTGATGGCAAATTACAAGGTCATTTACTATTTTTTTTTCAAATGATCTTAGTCATTTTGACTTGAAATTTATAATAAAATTGAGGTCATTTGAGATCATTTGAGGTCATTTCAAGGTCATTTGCCAACACTGCCTTTAATCGATCAGGAACTCACATCATAGCATATCTGGAAACCAAATGTTTCCATCTTCGTTGATTAGGAAGCAAAAGAAATATCTCAATTTCTGCTAAAATCTTTGCTTTTTGAAGCAAGAAAAAAGAATGAGACCTATTTTCCCTCACTCAATCTCTAAATTAAGTAATCTAATAAATACAACCAAAAATGAAAATAATTTGCTATGAAAGGGTTTGCCTGAATATTCTTCGATTTGTTTATTGTTACATCCGTGTTTATATCATTAAAATTCCATTTTATTTAAAGATACGGTTTCAGTGTCTTATCCGAAGTTTATCGATATTAAATTGAAAATTTCAATGAAAATTTATTGATTTATCAATAATAAATCCATTTTATATTTTAGTAAAAATTTCAGTGATGTATGCATTTAAAAATTCAATTTTTATGATCGAATAATTTAGCAATGTTTCAGTCATTTATCATCAATGCAACTAATTTAATATAAGAGTATAAAATATCCGCTTTTATAAAATCTGAATTATAAACTCTGTAAATATGTAAAATTTATGAAAGAAATACAGAATAGGTACATAATTATAAATACGAAAAAACAACGGAAAGCAAACTTTTATCATTTTTAATAGGGTCAATAGGGTCATATATGTTACACCGATCAAATTAAAATTTCTTTCTTTAAACCTTTAAAATAAATTAAAGAATGTAACGAATACCATAATTCAAATAAGAATAATTTATTTTTTTTTATAAAAATACTTCGGGCCTTATAATCAAATTATAAAACATAATTCATAATTATTATTTAAAATTATGTAAAAACAGTTCAGAACAATGGTTAAACGCGTTTATTATGATAATTTCATAAATACAGATTAAATTTAAATACAAGATGACGCCATCACTTTAGATTTGTTAGTAGATGAGATGGGCTGATATTTTAATTTTAAAGTTCCTCCCTAATGACTTGAATTGAATTTATACTACGAAAGGCGCAACTATTTTTCTTTTTTTTTAAACATAACTCCTGATTCTACATTCTTGATAATATCATACAAAGATGCATTTGGATAGAATAGTTTGATGTACCTTCGATTTTCTTTTTGTATAGAATAAGGCTAAGTTACAATTTTCCAAGGTTAAATTAGTGAAGAATGCCATTATAATTGCTGCTTTTCTATATGTTCTTGAATAAGCTTTTTCATAGATAGGCTTGCGTTTATTAATTTTTAGGCATATAACGAATAGGATAAAGTTAGGAAATAATTAAATTTCAACTTCATCAGATGTCTACTATTGAATTAATAAATCATTTTTAACACAAAAGAAATCTTTTAACATGTGCAAATAAATTTTTTTCCTTAATATGTACAGAATATATGTAAATTTTATTTTCTCAAAAAGGTTCAGTATAAGGCCGGGCAAAAAAAATTTTTATATTCTCGTGACCCGGCCGCCTCAATTTTTTACAAAAATTCATGATTTTTTTTTATATTAAAATTTTTTTCACGTGACTTTATATAATGATTTACTTTATTATAAAAAATTTAACACAGTACATATAAAAAAAAATTTATATATATAGAAAATAAAACAGGGTGACCGTGTCATATTTAAAATTTTATGTCACGAGAATTTAAAAATTTATTTTGCCCGGCCTAAGCTTAAAAAAAAGAGTATAAATTATTAAAATGTTGAATCAAAGATATTAACGTAAATTTTTTAAATTCAATTAAGGAATTAGTTAGTTATGCGTATGGAATACTTGTGTCACGCGAAAAATTTCTAAATTTTTACACTCGATATTTATATTAGATACAAACAAAAAATGGGTTAAATGCTAAAAAAAACATATTTTTTTATTAGCTAAAGTATTTAGCATGTAAAGCAAAATTGATTACTTTGGAAAGAAGAGCAATAAGATGCGATTATGCAAATACTTTTAGTTCTGCCATTATTGATTGGCTTATTTTGGAAACAATTACATGTTAAGAAATTCGTCCTACATTTGATTTTTAATATTAAGATTGGTTATAAGTAGGAAAGCTTCTCATACAGTATAAAAAGATAAATTGTGCCATCACTTTAATTAATTACATAGAAATTAAATAATCACATATTGAATTTGGTTAGTACAAATATAATTAAATTAGACCTATATAATAAAATTTACGGAAAGGATTAACTATACTTATCGTTGATCACAAAAAACATTTCTATAAGGTATGACTGCGATCGGCAAGTTGGGAGTTCGCATTTATATTTATTTACCTTGTGTACCAATTTAAAACATTAACCTTTGTTTTATTGCGACAAACTATTTATATATTTAGAAAAACAATAGTTTACTAATTAGGATAAATTTGCACCAATTAAAACTACAATCAAAAAAGTTGTTTTTATTTTTTGTTAAAGTAAAACAAAGAATGTTACAAATTAGGATACAATTAATCTAACTTGCACCAAATAAAAAAAATCGAATTATATTTAAAATGTTTCACTATATTTTTTTTTAAAAGTTAACAAGAAATATCTATGTTTATTTTTTTTACAACGAACGAAACGCATAATTTAGAAATTCGAATAAATTATTTCCAGATATATAAAGATATAAAGAGGCAGAATTTATCCAAAAAAATACGGAAACCCTTTCCTTTGACTCATTTTTATAATATCGTATTTCTGAACTTAAACTCTTCAAAAAGAAGACTATTTTAATATTATGAATTATTTAACTTTTGCAAAATGTTTTGATTGTGGAAAAGAAATAAAAATTGCAAAATGGTGTAAAGATTGTGAGTCCGAAGCCTTTAAAGAAAATTTTAAAAATTGGACCAGCGGAAATCCTAATCTTGATAATTTTATCAAAAATACGCAGTTAAATGCAACCGAAAGAGGGTCTTACTTAGAGTACATTGATTTTGATCAATTTGAATTTGTCAATTATATAAAGACAACTGATTCATATAACACAATTTATTCAGCAATATGGATGGAAGGTCCACGAGAAATTTGGGATAAAGAGGCTGGACAGTGGACACGTAACGGACCAACACATGTTGCTCTTAAAAGACTTAATAATTCACAAAACATTAGTGAAGAATATTTAAATCAAGTAAGCAAAATTTATAAAGATGTTTAATGATAATTGCTATTTATTAAATTATTTTTTTATATTATTGTAAATTAGGTATATAAATATCGAAATTGCTTTAGGAATGGAACTCTAGCAAACTGCTACGGTGTAACCAAAGATCCGACTTCAAATTATATGTTCGTTATGAAATATTATGATAATCATGACTTATATTCATATCTTATTAAAATAAATAAGTTTCTTAGCTTCAAAAATATTGTTGAAATGCTTTGGGATATAACGGGAGGACTTGAACATTTACATGGAAATAAACTAATCCACGGAAATATTCATTGGGGAAATATTTTAATTAATGAAATTGTTATAAATAATGATATAGAATTGGTTGAAGCACGTATTGCTGATGTAGGAATGCATGGCCCGGTTGACAAGAAGAATTCAAACGAAAGTTGTAGAGTGCATCCTTTTATAGCTCCTGAAATCTTGAAAGGTTTAACACCAACAATAGCTTCCGACATATATAGTTTGGGAATGATCATGTGGGCTCTATCCGCTGGTTTTCGTCCATGGGGTAATTGGATACATGACCATAATTTAGCTACGAAAATTTGCTCTGGTCTTCATCCCGAAATTACTGAGGGAATTCCAAATGTTTATATTACATTAATGAAACAATGCTTGGATCCTGATCCTTCAAAACGTCCAACTGTTTTGCAATTGATAGATACGCTTGAAATTTGGAATCAAGTTTATTCTGATTAATTTTAAAAATTTTAATGCATAGTCAATACGATTTTCAAGAATTCTATACAAGCAGTTTTCCGTATTTTTGAATTAATATATTTATAATTTTTATTTCTTTCTGTTTATATATGGCTTTTATTCATAAATATTATTATTATAATAAATATTTCATTAGTTTTATTTTTAATAATCTAAAAATTCACAGGATCGTTGGTCAAGGAATTAGGTTGTGTTATCTCCTATTTTCGTAAGAGAGATAATTGAATGATTTTATAATTGTTTTTCCTTCCTAGGGCTTTGTTACGGCATTTCTTAAAAATATCCGGCTGAATGACGGATATACATTTTAATTGATTCTTGATATCAAAAATGGTCATTTTAACATATACTTTCCATCAGTCCACTGAGTTCGAATGGGCAGAGTCCGAAATGCCAATTCAAAAATTTGTCAGCGATGATCAATTTTTGGCGCAGTCAAAACCAAATATTCTGGTATCAACCCAAATTTGTCGTGATAATTAATTTTCGGGATTTCGCTGATCATTCACTTTATGTCATCAAGTGAGCTGTAATGTTCCTTCGCCACCATTTGGAGGCTGTAATACTTGCCATTATCATAAAAAAAAATGGGCTTATATATCTTTACGCAATATACAACTTTTCGAAGACTTTCCAAGCTTATTAATTTTTAATAAATGGATTTTGTTTTAAAAATGGAAATAAATTTATTAAATAATAGAACAAATTCTTTGAACTTTTCAAGCTCTTTTATATTAAATAATTTTAATCTTACATTTAACAATGGTCTTAAATAATATTATATACAATATTGGATAACTTTTTAAACAAAATTTTTAAACTTTAGCTCATTAAAGGATTAATTTTTTTTTAAAAAAAAAGAAGAAAACTCCAAATCTTCTCTGCAAGATAATAATTCTTAGCACCAATATATAATATTTGATTTTTAATTTTTAATTTTTGAAAAATTCCATTATCAAATTAAATAACAAGATCAAGAACAAAATCAGTTTTCTAAATATAAACTTGATAAATAACTCCTAAATAAAGGTCTTCTGATGACTTCAACTATTAAAAATTAATATATATAAAAGTAAATATTTAATTTTCATGTTATTTTGAAAATTTTAAATTTATATTAATTAAATTCTACAAATATAATTTTTAAATAAAATTTTAAACTTCAGCTTATAGAATAATTTTTTAAAAAAAAATATTTTTCATAACAGATCAATAATAAGGTTTATTTTATATAAAAATAAAATTTTAAAACTTTATAAGAAAGATAAGAACGGTAACTTTTAATATTACAATATATATTGCAATTAGTTTTAATCTATATATTTTGCAACTTATATTATTACAATCTGGAGATAGTGATTACTTAATAAAAATAACTTTTTTTAGCGTAATTAAAGGAATTACTTGACCTTTCTTACAACGCTAGCCACACCTATTTAAAATAAAATCTTAAAATGTGTTATTTATTCTAATTTATCTTGTGAAAATAAAATACAACCACAAAATACTATATTTACAACATTAATCGAAGATGCTGTTGTTAGCCGGAAGGCTGGAAATAAAACTTAAACGATATAATTCAGTCCGTCGAATTAATCACGATAACTTTATCACAATCACGCCTGTATGAAGACACGGCAAAAGGTAATAGTAAATGAATAACAAATATCTTT